AACAATCATAAGCAAATCAATCAAGATCGGAAGATCATGTGACTGCGCCCTCGATTATTGGCGACGCTGGCTTTTTTCTCATGTAATTAAGGAAATCAGAAATCGTCTAACAATCAAGTGATTTGTAATGATTGTGATTGTAAATTATCCAAATGAACTTGTGATGCAATCATGTGCTAAGCTAAGCCATATATATGTGGTATTTTTTAAGCTAAGTTTTTTTTATATCACAACAGCTGAAAAATAAAGCCAAGAATGATGAGAAACAAACTTACGCTATATGTTTTTATTTAATTCGACAAAAAAGGTGAACAATGGTTTGTGGTGCTATTATTCATATAAACCCTGCTTTTCTAAAAAAAAACGTCTAAATCTGCATGATGACCTTATTAATGACTGTTGCCTATTGGATTAATATGCATAATTTAAAACCCTGAATTTAGATATTATTGGCTAACTGCCTAAAAACTAACTGCAGAGAGTTGTTTTTTTAATTTAATTGGATGAAAAAGTTTAAATAATCGTTCAATGATTAGTGCCAACTTTTCGATTAATAGATTTTTGGGTCATGTCAATTATACATGTGGTCAAAATTATTTCAACCTGTGTTGAACCATTATGGCTTATACCGTAACTAATTTCGAATAAGCCGAAATGGTTTTGGCCACATGAATGATGTCAATAACCTAAAGAATTTAGACCGTTATTGGTTTTTTTAAAATTTTCTTATCTTTTTTTATTCTTTTATTTAGTTATTCACGCATATTATTTAGTCAGCTCTTTTTACCCTGTTATTTTATTTGTCATTTTTTATGTACTTATTATCAGAGTAGCAAGTCTGACAGGTTAATTTCCTAGCGATGGGTGTAGTATTATCGGAGAATATCATTGAGGAAAACACTGATAGATTATACGATCTATCATCAATGATACCTACGCATGTACATAAATGCTAATTCACCGAAATTAGAATGGAAGATTTTTCGGAAAACTGATAGCACACGGTTGTACAAATTTATGAATCACGCGCCCACAATAGCCCACAATCTACCCTGTAATCGCAAAAACATAGCATTTTTCAATAAACAAATGTATATACTTATTTAAATATTGTCTTGTAAATTATTCCTTTTGAATTCAACTTGCAATTTTAATAAACGAATTATGACTTCGATACCGTCGGCTATTATCAGTTTACTGAAGATTTGTGTATTACTTGTGAAAATATGGTATATTGAATAGTCAATTAAAAAATATATTTCAAATTGGTATAATCGATTATATATATATATATATATCAATTTGAAATATATTTTCTAATTGGAGATTTTAATATAGAATATAAAATTTTGAAAAAGTAAAGTTGTTAAGAATACATTAAAGATTGAAAGATTTTATATAATGAAAAATATTTTTACTATTTTTATTATAAAAATTACAGTAATAATTTTGATCAAAAGATCTATTATTGTACAAAATAAATGGGACTAACATATGCTTGGTTCTATTGGGTGATCAGCCACCCCAACTTCTCAGTCGTTCTTATCATCAACTCATCATCGTTCTTCACCCCATGTTTTCCCATATTTTATCGAGTCGTAGCCACCAGATCTATAAATATAGTTTATTTACTCAATATTATATCTACTGTACAGTACATATAGACATTAAAACTTCTATTATACTATATAATTTTCATGCATGCAGAAAAAGATTCTAGATGAAAATACTGTACTTTGACTCAGGATATTGCAAATGGAATCAATTCTCTAATTGTCTTTGTTTTAAATAAAGTATTATTCGTATATTGATTGTTTTAGGTAATGGAATTGTATATTTGCTTCTCCGAACGTAAATGATCATATTAATTTCGTTATTTAATAAGAACATGAGTGTCGCTAAAGGAAAACCCGAAATTTTTTGTTGTGCCAAGCTATGGCGTATCTCGTTTGGCAAACATTGTATTTATGCTATTTATTTATTTTTTTTTTGGCATGTCCCGTCCCAATGTTCAAGATTGTACAAAGCATGTTCAAACTTTAATAATTAACAAATTTGTATAAAAAAATTCATGATTATATACTTTAGTTCTGAACATTCTTGGTTGTACTGCAGTACAATATAGGTGGGCAGGTCCGATAATGGTCACGTGTACATAAATATTCCCACCGCTACATTATAGTTCACCCAGCCATACTGCATAAGTATCAGGTATGTACGTACGTAACTTTTTTTATTTTTGTCAAAGTGTCCGAAAATGTCAAAAGCCGTCCTGTGACAACATTGTGTATAGTTTTCGGAACGTGTTAAAATGCGTGATTATTTAGTGCTAACTAGTGTGGCACGGGACAGCTTTGGACAAATTGTGAGCAATTTAAATACGTAAAAAAAACAAATCTAAATAACACAAAATTTTATTAAGATAACCTATTTTAATATTTTAAGCAAAAAATATTCAGAACAATAAAAAATATATATAATCATATCTTTTTTAAACTAATTTATTAAATTTTAAAGCTTAAATATTCTTTGGCAATTGTGGACACTGTGGACGTTTGGACGTGGACATAGGCATGGACATAGTAGACGTGACAACACTGAGTACTAGCATCACCCGATTCTGTTATTCATGATTATCACGTAGGTACATTGGTAAATTAAAAATTTCGGAATTTGGTTAAGATGTTACAAAATTTTTCTAATTTAATATAATGTAAATGAATTATACGTACAGCCAACTCTCTAGGTAGGACCATATCGATATGTAAAAATCAGCTTTATACACATGAAGCCGCCTTGCACTCAAAATCTTGTTAAGAATTGAACTTAAAGAACACATGCACCGAGTGTCAAATGTTTATAAATTTTAAACAAATGTTTTTTTTTAATCAAATTTTTATTAATACATACTGCAGGTCAGAAAAAAACCTTATTAGTGCTGAACGTCATTAGTAATATATTTTCAATTCTAAAAACGGTAAATATAGATAAACTATTCGGGAATTTTTTAATATAATTTTCAAAAGTGTAACCAATGTGTGTTTGAAGATTTTGAAACGGAAAAAATGTCAATATCCGAAAAACTTATAATTGTTACACAAAGAGCTACAAAATCCGCTTCATTTTAAATGGAAAACTAGAGTCATTAAGGAAATTCACAGGTTAACATTTTCGGTTAACCGTTTGCGTCACGTACATATTTATATGCAAGGTTTATGATACATAAATCGCCGTGTTACATAATTTACATTCTTATACATTTATAATTTTGCCAACTTCCGTGACTGAAATAATGAAATAGAGAGGTCATTTGAGCTACGTACGTGTGTACATAGGAGGCTCGCAGACGCTTCTCACGGATATATATTTATAAAGAAATCACAATCGAGATGTGTACAACAGATAATTATTACTTTCTCCATTTTTAGTGTGATTCGAATTTATCAATTAAAAACATTTAAACAAAAAGGTCCCACGAATTAACTTAATTTCTTTCTAGTAGTAGTTAACCTAATTTCAGTAAGAAATGCCAACAGTAATCCGCCCTTTAAGTATAGTCGAACGACTTTATATTATGCGCCAAAATGTTCTACATAATCATAATCTCGCATTCGTAATAAAATTTAGATGGGATGAATTCTACAATATGAACTCAAATAGAAACTTTCATATTTCCGATTCTACCAAACCTTCTTTATACCCTAATATAAAAAACTTGAACACTGAATCAAAAAGATTGATTTTACAAATTCTTTATCCTACTCTCCAAACTCTTCTCACAAAACTTCCATCATTATCTGTCTCCATTAGAGATGCGAAATCATCTAATCCATTATTCTTACAACTTGATGAATTATATTTAACAAGTCTCATCAAATTTGTTCCTATTTCTTCCGAAGGTGATTTGGAAAAACTTATAGAGAGACAACATGATTTAAAATTCAGCATAGATGATGAGACGAAACCACTTTGGAGAATTGTGGTCGGCATCACCAATCTTCAAAAATCAACTGAAAGACCGGAATATGATTTTTGTATCTTATTCTGTTGGCATCACACTATCGTTGACGAAATAAGTTCCTTATCAATAAATAATTTATTCGTTGAAACACTAAATGAAATCTTCAAAAGATATAAATCAAATACATCAACAAAATTAAAGAAACTTCCGGATTCTTACACTCATGCTATACTT